AACTCCTCAATTGACCGATTATCCGGCTTTCTGTAGTACCCAGAGGGCTTCGAGTAGTTAGTTCTACATACAGGGCAGCGAATTGGATGAAAAGGCACCGCGAGGCGGCGCTGTTCGCGCTTCGCGCGTATATCCGGGCTGCAGATCGTCTAGCTTTCTGGATGCAGCAGCAATACTGTTTCATTTGTGAATGGTTGCTGAAAGGTTTTTTTGCCCCTTTGGCCTGTATTTGAGGCATCATACTGACCCATGTGATGCACTTACATTGCAAAAAGTCGGAAATTCTTTGAATTTCTAGAATTTCTACATCTACAGCAATACTGACTGAGAAATATTCTGTAATAACGGCACTATGATGCTTAGTCTATGTTAGTTTTAGTTTTACCTTAGTTTACTTTTTCATCAGTTATTTGCTTTAAAAGCAGGTAGACAGTTTAGAAGACCTTTCTAGATAAATAGTACTAAATATCATGCACATATCCAAGACTTGTGAAATGTCAATATTCAACAAGTCTGTGTGAAATTTTCGTTGCTGAAGGTGTGTATCAATGTAGCCATTTGCACATACTTGTTGAAATTAAACACATTTTAATTCATTTAAACACATTGAATTAAACATAATTGACATCCAATTAATGACTTCCACCTTTATGGCTACATACTTTTAATTTGTAAACTTATGCTATAATACTAATGTACTGGCATGTACAGATATCTTGTAATCCATGCTGACATGATCCGTCTCTCAATGAATCAGAAACCTCGTAACAGTGATCGTCACATTAATAATGTAATCAAGGTAATCATGAACAAATAATACAGCTAGCGTATGTGTATCCAGCAAACAGCGCTTTCATCACATCTCACTCGTATCGTGTGTGTTTAGCGATATCACCTACTAGTCTCAGCATTACACTCCCGCTGGAATCAATCGTGCTTCATTCCAATGCTATTTGCGTCCTAGGAGGCAGCGCACACGGATGCGGGTGCCATGGCAGCGGCTGTTCCCAAATACGATAATCAAGCATACCACGACGGGGAGCCCCAGTCTGGCAGGGCATTGTCAGCGTATGGCGAGACGGTCACCTCCGACGTAAGTCCATTGTTTGCAAAGTGGAGCTTCATTGTGTTATCGTTATTTATGGCGTATTATGTCATGGTTGATTGCCATTAATTATCTATTCATAACTTAAGCTAATAATATTATTGCTGTTGACGTCGGCGTCGTCATTGTCATCGTTTTTATGACAATCGCCATTGCGTCTGTTTAATTGGAAACCCAGTCGGTTGAGAGAGTGGACTGCTGTTAGTTTTCATTACCTTACCTTTCATTTCATTAGTTGACATTAGTTTTTTTTATTACGTATTTGGCGTTCAGGAACACCTGTTCGATGTGAGTGACCTGCACCCAGAGCCTAGCCTCATCTCTCGCTGCGGCACGCTGGAGGTCACCCTGGGTTACGATCTGCCGCGCAGGCGCATGAACGTCGTCGTGCACCACGCTCAGAATATTCCCTCGAAGGATCGCGGTGGAGCCAGTCACACACAGGTACCAGTGCTTGGACGCGAGACCACGCTAACGAGTGTGTAAATTCTCTCGCGGGACTACCCTCGATTGCTCTGCTGTTTGTCGTAACTCGACGATTACCTTACGAAAATCTGGCATAAATCGTGTCGCATAAATTGAGCGATTAAGTAGCATCTACTGTGCCACTAACTCTACTAATACGTTATGGTAAGCAACTGCCTACATTTTACTGAGATGCTGGGACATGGTATTCTTAATCAGGATATGATGATGTGAAATTATTCCAATTCTCTTTTCAGGTCAGACTGCTGTTGCTGCCCACAAAGAAGCAGAGGTTCAAGACAAAGATTCGTGTCGGAGAAAATCCGGAGTTCAGCGAGACATTCGTTTGCTCTAAAGTCAATCCAGGTGTAGTTTTATGTTTGACACCCAGATAACGATTTTCTTTGCAGAGCAAAATAATATGAATTGCAGTGCGTTTAAATCACTTTGTTTTAAAAATTAAATGACTTTAAGTGATGTTATATATGACTAACTGGTTGTTTAATGGTCATCTACTGCTTAGAATGACGTGGGAAAAGTAAAAATAAAATCCTAAACATCCAATGGTTACATCATAATAATTTCATCTAAGCACTCACAAATACCTGAACAATCTATAATCGATATCAGTAAGATGTTCCACTAATCAGCAGAGATTTGAGCAGGCATGATCACAGATCTGAAAATGTGTGCGTTATCATTCCATTCTCCATAAATTGCTTCCTGTTACAGAGCAGCATCTCATTTGAAATGATTTAGTGCATCTATTACCATGTAGTCCCAATGTGTTGTCATGTGTTATTGTGTTGCTGTCATGCTATGCTCCCTGTGGTGCTCCCTGTTACACAGTATCTATTTCTCTCCTAGACTTATTGTGTTTTTCCCATCTGTTCCAGAAGATCTGTTATAATTTTAGTCTCAGTGTGTTCTCATGTATTACAGAGGATCTGTTCTAACGTTAGTCTCAGGTGTGTTTTCGTATATTGGAGAGGAGGCATAAAGCCTAGCGCAGACCTGCGATTTTTTTCATGCAACTTGACAGCGATTCTAGAATCGCTGTAAAAATGACTTTGAAATCGCTACATCTGCGGGAATTTGCAACTGCAACCTGTAGCGATTCTGGATTTTGAGCGACTCGTCACTCCCAGTCGCTCCCAAATTGCTCTAGAATTGCTTCAAAATCGCGTGTGTGCGCACACGCGACTGACCGCTTGCCGTTGCAGGTTGCAAGCGAAGAGCAACCAAAAATGCGCTAGGCGTTATCATGCTAGTCTCACTGTGTCTTACAGAGGATGTGAGTGCGATGGGGATGCGATTTCGCCTGTACGGCTGCGAGCGCATGCGCCGGCAGCGCATGATCGGAGAGAACGTCATCAGCTTCGCTCAGCTGAACCTCGACCAGGAGACGACCCACGTCTTACATCTGGAACCGCGCAGCAACCTGAGTGTAAGTGTAACTCGTGTGCTACGCCTGATAGCAACTTGAGTGTAAGTGTAACTCGTGTGCTATGCCTGATAGCAACCTGAGTGTAAGTGTAACTCGTGTGCTAAAACTCGTGTGCTACGCCTGATAGCAACTTGAGTGTAAGTGTAACTCGTGTGCTATGCCTGATAGCAACCTGAGTGTAAGTGTAACTCGTGTGCTATACCTGATAGCAACATGAGTGTAAGTGTAACTTGTGTGCCATGCCTAATATCAACCTGAGTGTAGGTGTAACTTGTGTGCTATGCCTAATAGCGAACTTACAACCCGCATGTAACATCTGGAGCCACACAGCAACCGGAGTGTAAGTGTAATGCGTGTGCTATGCCTAATAGCGAGCTTACGGCCCACATGTTACATCTGGAGGCAGACAACGGCTGATGCGCTCTTGTTTCTCGTGCAGCACAGCGACTCGAAGACGGACGTGACGAGTCTGTCGCGCAGTGACAGCGCGTCGTCGACACAGTCGATGCAGCATGGCGGCGTGCCTGAGCTCATGATCGGCCTCGCCTACAACGGGACAACCGGTCGCCTGTCTGTCGACGTCATCAAGGGCAGCCACTTCAGAAACATGGCGATGCAGAGGGCGCCAGGTACACTTCCTCGTCTATTCATAGTTTTCGTATTGTTCCTCGTCTATTTGTAGTTTTCGTAGTGTTCCTCGTCTATTCGTAGTTTTCGTATTGTTCCTCGTCTGTTCGTAGTTTTCGTATTGTTCCTCGTCTATTCGTAGTTTTCGTAGTGTTCCTCATCTATTCGTAGTTTTCGTAGTGTTCCTCATCTATTCGTAGTTTTCGTATTGTTCCTCATCTATTCGTAGTTTTCATAGTGTTCCTCATCTATTCGTTGTTTTCGTAGTGTTCCTCTGTTCATAGTTTTCGTAGTGTTCCTCATCTGTTTGTAGTTTTTGTAGTGTTCTTCGTCTATTTGTAGTTTTCGTAGTGTTCCTCATCTATTCATAGTTTTCGTTTGAGCCTCCACGATGTTTAGCGTAGGACGAAGAAAGAAGCGAGGCACGTAGCATTCATAATTCTTCTTCTATTAGAATTCCTCAAAGGTTTCAAAGCGTGTGCGTAAAAGAAATTCGTTCCATACCTGAAATTCGCCCACGAAATGATAACATCAAATCGTCAGACATTGTGGATGAGACTAAAGTGCATGTTGCTGCTGGCGTTTCTTAAACTTTTTTTTAAACCCTTCTAACTTGGCAGCAGTATGCTTGTCATGTCAGCGCATCATGTGTTCGATTACAGTTTTCACGCGAGTATAGTGCAATCCGACTGTCATGTCACACAGAAAGAACGTGGCCGTGTCAGCATTCAGATTTGCTGCGTCAGCGGAATAAGCAAAATCTTTGCGAAGGTTATTGCGAAGCAAACGCTTGTGTCAATGTGTGATCCTGACATATCTGCTCGTAAAGGCGTGAAAGCGGACAAAGCGCGAGAATCCCGCTTCGTATTCCGGCTCGAACACAAACAGCCAGCTGCAAGTGATGAGCAGATTGAGTTGTGTGGTTTTCATCCACTTTGTCTCGTTAGTAATTAGTGAAGCCTGCTGATCGGCATGCCAAAACTCAATCGATTGGACCTTGAGGCTTTCAACCACCATGCCAGGGGCTATGTGCTGCAGTGGCTAGGTCGAGTGTAGTGCAGTGACCCGAGAGGAAGAAGAAGATTAGTTAATAAGCTGACAAATTACATGCATATAATTACGAGGTAATAATATATAGAGTATTATTCGTTAATTGGAGACCTTGAGGCTTTCAACCACCGTGCCAGGTGCTATGTGCTGCAGTGGCTAGGTCGAGTGTAGTGCAGTGACCCGAGAGGAAGAAGATCTGCATGCCACTGCAACCTGAAATTGCAGCTTCGCTCAAATGCGGATGTCACCAATCAACGACATAATTATTTACTTACTTATCCGCTTCACTCTCAGTGGAGCATAAGGCTACTACATAATTATTTGATATTCGCGTAAACCGTTGAGTTATATTTGATCTGGGTAGTTGAATCCTTGTTTGCGTTTGTTCGTAGAGCCTGATGTTATATTTGTTTTGGCACTATCCAGGGAGAGAGAATACGTCACCCTAATGGGCTTGACCAAATATTGATATTGTCACCACCATCCATGCCGGATTTGAGTGTATTTCCTAAACATGATCTGGAATGATGATTTCGTTTATTGCGATCCGCTTTGATGGCAGTGAATTGCAGACAAATAAATGTGAAATATCAGTCAAAGTATCTCATTAGGAGCTCATCTTGACCTTTCACAGAAGAGGAAAAGTGTAAATTGATGTTATTTTGAAATAATAGCTCTAATGCTTGTTTTTAAGTGACGTATTGTCATTTTTGTTTATTTTATGAAATTGTTGAAACAAGTTCACATGTTAGTTTTTTGTGAAAGTCACCATTGCCAATTATCTGATTTTTAGTTTGGGGCATTCATAAAGCCGGTATCAACCTTAATTAAAAATTCGTTACCGTTGCCCGTAATGAATCAAATAGTAGATAAAAAATTATAATAGTTGTCTGGATATTCCTGGTTTTTTTCCGTTTATCCTAAAATTTTACGGGCTATCAAATTGTGGAAACACGGGGTGTATATTATGTGTCACTAAAAAAGACAGTATGTTGCAGTTTATGTTGCATATGCTATGAATATTTCGTGTTATCCATGTAATAGATCTAAATGATCTGTTTCCTCCAACATTGCCATACTAAACTCGCGTTTGAAAAATCGCAATTCTTTACACCAAGTGAGATAGTTACGTGGTTATAAATTCTGTTGTAATGAATTCCTCTTGTTGAACAGATACGTACGTGAAACTGTCGCTGATGGGAGCCAACGGCCAGGAAGTCGCGCGAAGCAAGACGTCTATACGCAGAGGCCAGCCCAACCCTCTCTACAAGGAAACATTCATGTTTCAGGTATGATTGTAGGCATATCTTGTCGTTCTCACAAGGCAAAGCAACATTTACTATTACTGCGTTGACAGCAATCCTCAGTCTAGCAGTCAAATTCAAGTAAATGCAAACAGCCTTATGATGATAGTATTTATCGATGTAATGTAACCATACAACCGAACATTTTATTATGATCCTAATCAAGATTAGATGGCAGTACTGAGTCGTAATTTTTTATTAGCAGTGCATTTTCTATTGTCAATTAATCGTACAAAACTAATTATCATGGAAAAAAAGTCATAATAAGGTTTTACGACTGTGCTAAATGCGGACATTATGATAATTACTGTCCTCGACGTAATCATTACATTTTTTCCTGCCAGGTGGCGCTGTTCCAGCTGCCCGAGGTAACACTGATGGTGTCTGTGTACAACAAGCGCAGCATGAAGCGCAAGGAGATGGTAGGCTGGTTCTCCCTGGGAATCAACAGCAGCGGAGAGGAGGAGCTGAGCCACTGGAACGACATGAGGGAGAGCAAGGGCGACCCCGTCTGTCGCTGGCACGTTCTCCTCGAGGCCTAGAGAGGGCGTGGTCCAACGAGAAGCACGCATCAGTGAGCGTTGGCAGTGAGGTTATGTGCAGACTTTTGTGTGCACGTGTGGCGTGCTGCGCATTATACGCTTCAGCCCATCCTCAAAACATTTCTCATTTGCTGTGACCTTTCAGTCCCATCAAAGTCGCACCAATTGGAATTGAATTTTACGGCATTGTTTTTGTGTAAAGACTTGGGTCTGTTTGATTATGGAGCTTGTGCGCATATGTATGATCTTTTTGTGGCTCCACTAAAAATCTGTTAAGGGTGGCTGTTGAATATGCCATATCCCCCTATCTGGCAATAGAAGCATGAATGATGTGTGTGTGTGTGTGTGTGCGTGTGCGTGTGCGTGTCCGTGTGCGTGTGCGTGTGTGTATACTTCATTCTATTTCATTAGAGGCATGCACAAATGAACAATGTTATTGTCACTATATGTATCTCTATATAGGTTGTATGGTTATGTCATTCACATGATAAAACATCACGTGTGTAGTATTCTCACATGCAGAACCTTGATCAATATTGGGTTTACTTATTTTGACTCTAGTCATGGATTAATCTAGTAATTAATTTAGCCTAGTGGATAGCATAGTCTCTAGTCTCTAGTCATGCTATGTCTATGCTATGCTAGTCATGCTATGTCATGTTATGCTAGTCATGCATAGTCTCTAGTCATGCTATGTCATTGTAAATATTAAAGGTGGCCTCCATCCTGCTACTAAAAAATCTGAACACATTTAAACCAATGCGGCATGTGATCAACTGATTACTATTACGTATGTACTGGCTCCCTGAGGAAGCGGTTTGTGTTTTCTTGCTGTGGACTCGGAGGAAATTCAGATAGATAGTCTTTTAAATACGGCATTTTTCCGTGAATACCCCCCCCCTCATCGACTAGAGTGGGATATTTTCTCTAGTTTGGTTTATCCACGTGCCGATTACGCAACTTGTATGGGCACTGCGGGAAACTCAGAAGAAGACTGGGCCCCGTTTAACAACAGCATGCCTGGGAAATCTAGCCCCCTCTTTTATTAGATTAATTGATGCATGTTATTGCCGCAGTTTGATCACTGCTTTTAACATTTGGAGCACTGTGTTATTTGCAACTATTAGACGATAATTAGTGATCAGCTAAACATTATACTTTTTTCGTCATCTAGGTATTATAAAAAAAACGTATTATATATAACTA